AAAAGAACAAGCACAGAACAAATTGATCTGTATGACATTACAAAATGTTTCTTCAACTCACGAACTTTACGAACAAGGTTTTATACTGTTTATTCAATAGCAAATCAAAAGACAAGGCAATATCTTGAAGAAGATAAGAATGATTGCTTTTATTGTATAGTAATAGCTTTTAATACTATGGGTATTACCATGTCTATCTCTCTACATATATAATTAGTATGGTTGTTATTCACAATCCTAGCAATTCCAGAACTTTTTCAATAAGTTCTTTCAAAATCTGGCAAGGAGTGTTTAGCCTTGATTTCGCCTTATGATGATATACTGCTTATGTAGGGATTAAGAAAATAAGAAATCAATTAAAATAAATAAGTTATTTAAAAACGAAAAACAAAATTTGAAAGTGCACTCAGGCCAAACAAGTGCCTGCGCTGGCAGGGTGGCGTATGCAAAATTTTAGCTTGCCATGTATTTTGACTCTTTTTACAGGTAACTATTCTGTGTTAAGCCTTAGGGGTGAAACCGCTTTTGAACGCTTAATAAAGGATAGAAGTACCTAGGTACATATGGGCCTCAGCGTACACTTACTACGGGATGGACTATGTGCTCATACATCGTCTTTTATCTATAAAAAATCAAAATGCTGTATTGTGGCCCAAAGAAACTTACATCCCCAATAATTAGAAACAAATTACAGATGTGTATGCCTCAAGACTAAGGTGGAATGCCTCCTGGCTTCTCACTCGTCATAAAATGAAATACATGCCTATTAGTTTAAGAGCCAGTGAGTGGCAGACTTACGGTATTTCAACGTTTTTTTTTTTCAGTTAATCCCCTATACCTGAGTTACATGAAATGGGGACACAGGTGTGAAAGGTGTAAAAAAATTACTGAGAAAAACGTGAAAGTAATAAATCTGCCGAAAAATACCATTGGCAGACACCTATGGCGGTCCCAAGGTCATGGCAGACAGGTTAACAAGTACAATTTTTTCTTAATATATTTACGTTATTTCAATAAAGCTGCAATTTACATATGCTGTTGATAATAATATTTGACATAATATATATTTTGCATGGCAGACGTATATTGTGGTTCTATCACCCAGGCAGTCATCAAACTTCAGTGGCTTCCATAAGCGCGTACTAGCACTCGCTGTAATCCAGTCTTTAGATTAAATAAAAAATTCTATTACATTAATTAAAATATTTGTTTTCAACTGTTCTTTAGTATTAGTCATTAGCATCATCATCATCATCATCATTAAAGCGGTGCACAAGTCAACTGCTGAACATAGGCCTCCCCTAGGAACTCCACAAAGCAAGGTCCTGAGCCCCCTGCATCCATCGACTTCCTGCATGTCTTACCGGGTCGTCACCCTAACTAGTGGGGGGCTGCCCTACACTTCGCCTACCAGTACGAGGCTGCCACTCAGGAACCTTTCTTTCCCATCGGTTGTCGGTTCTTCGAGCTATATGGCTGGCCCATTGCCACTTACTAATCTATAGGGCTATGTCGGTTTCCAGTGGCGGATTTACACATTTGCCGCCAGTAGGCTATTCTAATTTTGCCGCCCCTACCGATCTTCTACCAGTCGATGCCCTAGTTCACAATCATATTAATTACAATTTTTTGTCAATGAAATTGTAAGTTCATGATATGTGCATTATCGTTCTAATTACACCACCCTTTTCTCGTCATTAATATAATTATTGTGAACTAGTGAATCGATGTGTCAGTTCCCAGATTATTTTTAGAACTCATATATATGTAGATTTAATTAAAATTGCACAAAAAATAGCTTTTGGCTATCTTTCTAAGCTAATAAAAGCTCAATCATGTACTTCTAATAAGGCGGGGTAAGGTATGCCTTAATACTACTTAAACGTTAAACGTTATTAAATAATTTTTATTGCGGTTACTTACAGTTTAAAAATAATATATTCAATTACAAGTAAAAAGTTTTTAAAAAAGACAGAGCAAGGAACGAAAGAAGCAAAAGGCTATGAATTTTCGCCATTGTACACACACCAGACATGTTTGCGGCATTATCATACTACGGCAAGAACCCTCTTCTGAACGTTTTTCAAATAAGTAATTTTCTAAAAAATTGTGCCAGAGAAATATTAGTGCGTATTAGAAATCGCCCCAGGATTCAACCGAGGCAGCTTTTCTTTTGGTTTTGAAGTAAATACATCTATCTGTTTCGAACTCAATGCCAACACGCGGAGTACGCCTTCAACAGTACGATCCTGCCGCTGCTCCCACGGCGGCCGCGCCTCGCTCGTTCAGTCATTTCCATAGATACATACATAGAGCAGGCATTTCGATCAAACACACTTAGCGAACGGTCATGTCACTCGTTTCCGCGCCGCAACCAAACGGAAATTGTAGGAAAATTTGTTAACCAAGTGAAAAATGAAAAAGTTTTAGCCCCAAATTCGCCGCCCTTAAAATCTGCCGCCCTAGGCACCAGCCTACTCAGCCTGCTGGTAAATCCGCCACTGTCGGTTTCTCTGGTTCTACTGTGGATATCCTCATTTCTCAGTTAATCACGCATAAAAACCCCGAGCATAGTCATCTCCATAGCTCATGGAGCGACCTTTAGCTTCGTCATACAGCCAGCAGTGAACGACCACATCTCAGATCCATAGGCCATCACTGGCAACACGCACTGGTTGTACAATCTCGTTTTCAAGTTTTGACCTGACGAGCAAAATGTGTCTGTAACGTCCTGTAATGTCCTGAACGAGCCCCAGCCCAGTTGAATCCGAAGATTTTCGACGGTCGAAGTTGGACTTACCTAGTCGGACTATTTGTCCTAGCTAAACATCCTCGACAACAAATTCGAGCTTAGTGCTCCCAACTGCTACCGGCATAGGTGTGACATGGCCGTTACACATAATCTAAAACATATAATCCATGTTCATTTTAAAACCTGTCCGTTGGGAGGCACTATTGAGGTCATTGAGCATTACAACGATTCTGCCATAACGACTAAATCGTCGGCAAATCAAAGGTGAGTGATGTACTTGCTATTGATGTTAGTACCGGATCCATAACCAGTTACTTGAACAGCAGTTTCGTACTAGTATGCAAAACCCATTATTTAGACCGATGTTTTTTTTTTTCCTTTATTACCAAAAAAGCGACACCTATTTATAGGAATAACATCTGTAGAACTGCCTACTTCAGAAATCTGAGGAAATTCTGGGATTCCTTCTTGCTTCTGTACCAAAGTACAAAAACACACTAAAAATATTTTAAATGACCGTTACCAAGGACAGTTGTTCTTTTGTTATGAGTAAAATAAAACTCAGCCCTTTCTCCAAACAAAAATAGAAAAAAAGACTGGATTAGTGCGAGTGCTATAGTACCTACGGGCTTATGGACGCCAATGAAGTTTGTTGTTTGCCTGGGCGATAGGACCTCGATATAATGTCTGCTATGCAAAATATATATGTCAAATAATATTATCAACAACATATATAATTGCAGCTTTATTGAAATAACGTAAATTATTAAGAAAAAATTATAATTGTCAACCTGTCTTCCATGACCTTGAGACTGCCATAGGTGTCTGCCAATCAGTGGCGTAGCGTGCCTTAGACGGGCCCTGTATCAAAATTTGGGAACAAAAGGAACAAAACCGCTTGCATTGAATTAAATAATTACCTATATATTGATTATAAGCTATTACTTACAATTAATACTCCTAGGAACTAAACTAGCCAAACAATTCAAACCAAATACTACACTTTTGCCCAAGGTCAAGCGATTTAGTGTTCTTAAAATGCCTCTGTCATAACCATATTCCACTTATACCACAGAATAATGATTATACGATAATATGGGTAGCCGTAACATTATATTTTCTACAAAATCATTTTATATTGCTACTTTGAAAAAAGACGGTTAAAAAAAAATTACGTGGACGTCAGGATGTTTTTTGTATGTGGTCACGATAACTCTCAAAATATTTGACGTATAGAGACCCGGTTTTCTTTATTAGCTTCACAATTACATCAACTGGTTCCCTATTTCATATCAATAGCCTAGTACGCGTAGTTTGTTAATAAAATGATTTTCAAGTTTTATTTTTTAGTCCTTGGTAGAGTAGACAAGGACACACGTACCAAACAGCCTGTATCGATTTTATAGTTTGTGTAATAGATTTATTTTGGTAAACATTACTAACTGTTTTCCCTTTAGATGACACTACCTGTAAACATAATAGAGCGCTAAATTTAAAACACGTAAATAATATATTTTATGTTTGTAATAATATATTTTATGTATTTCATGTAAATTAAATGAAACGCTCATAAGGCGTGCACTTCTGGATTTTCCAAACTATTCTTACCTTTTGTTCTGCGAACTTATTTACTATCATTCATACCTGAAGACGATTTCTGTTTTTCTAAATTTTCTGCCTCTATAGACAATAGTGACAAGTCAAGTCCTTTCCTGTCGCATAGAAGTCCTTAGAATTTTTGCTTATACACGCTCGGGTGCCCCTGTAGCCCGGGGACCCCATATCATTAATACGGCTGATACGGCGGTAGCTACGCCCCTGCTGCCAATGTTATTTTTCTATAACTTTTATTGAATATTTCAAGATATCAAAGCGACAGACTTTTACGATCACGTTTTTTTCGGTCATTTTTTTACACCGTTCACACCTGAGCGTCTCTATATCAACCGCCGGTCAAACTATAGAGTCCCCATTTCATGTACCTCAGATATAGGGGATTAACTGAAAAAAAAACCGTGAAGCTAATTGAAATACTGTAAGTCTGCCGCTCACTAGCTCTTAGACCATATATAATATGCTGTTATTCTATACTGGTATTTTGTACGGGCGAGCTCCTTTGCGTTTTACACACCTACGTAATTTAAGATTTCTAGATAGATATCTTATATCTTAAAGATAATTAATGACTCCTCTCAATTTCCAATAATAGGTAACGTGAAAAATTGATGTATTTTTCATTAAAGGGAAAATGTCGAAGCGCCTAACAAAACGCTACCTGACGCCGTCTGACAAGTACGAATGTCCACTGTCAGTGGAGACACAAGCGGTAGCGGAAGAAGAGCTGCGTGAGACCGAAAACTCCCGCTCCCAAGCACTTGATTCGCTAAGGAAATGGATGGAGCAGAATCCCAAGTTGATGGCCGTTAGATTGGGTAAGTAAAAGTTAAAATTACAGCCTATCATCTCATTTCTGAGAGTCTTTTAGGGCAAGGAAATGTGCGCCACGCTGCCCCAATGCGTGTTGGCGAACTTCCACATGTCTTCGAAATGTTTTTCTTATTTCTCAGACATGCATGTTTCCTCACGATGTTTTCCTTCACCGCTGAGCACGTTGGGGAAGTAGGTACATACTCAAAAATTATTACTGTCTTTTGGTGAACAATAGACCCCCCACTAGATGGAGTGACGACCTGGTGAGACATGCAGGAAGTCAATGGATGCAGGTGGCTCATGACCGTGCTTTGTGGCAATATTATTATGGCATCCTACCTATGTGTGAATGGGTGTATGGGATAGCAAATTGTAAGAGTGGATTTGATTTAAATTTTGCAGAATTTTGCTAAATCACCTACAATGCGTTTTATTATATCTTTTTTGGTGTTTTGTGCTACATTCAGTAAAACGGAACCACTCGTGAAATTAAACGGTATCTTCTTTTCACTTTAAGCTTTTTTTTTCACTTTTAAGAGTATAACATCATGATTGAACCTTTGCATAGAAAATTATTGGGGTTACCTAAATACTGTCGCGAGGTTAATACGGGGGTCGACCAATTCTGTCTTTTTACACTACGGTAGTAGTAAATTAATGTAAAATTATAGTAAACAGTGGTAAATTAAATAAAATTAAACAAACTTTCAATAAGTATAATTTATATTGAATAAAAAGTTTCTGTTCCCGTTACTGTTTCTGATAATCTCACAACTGTTCTTCATAATTCGATTGCTCGCGGCCGACTTAGATATGCGGCTCCGACAGACTACCAGCGCTGCGGTAACTCTGTTAATGTAAGATTACGATGAGTGGGAGTGCTGCAAGCCATTTTTTAAATATTTAGTTAAATATATTTTTATTTGTTGTTCTGCAAAATACAGCAATAAATAAATATGTTCTTTCGTTCTTTATAAACCGAGGCGATGTGCTTTACGGTAGGTATTATAAGGTTCTATTAAAAATATATTTTTGATTTCCTTCTCACTTCATTATTTGAAATATGTTATGTATGGCTATTTAAATTGCAGATTCTAATTTCCTGCTCCGATTCCTGCGCACTAAGAAATTCAGCGTGCCGATGGCCCAGGAGGCGATTGAGCGCTATGTGCTCCTGCGCCAGTCCTGGGGCATCGCCTTCAACCAGCTTGACCACACGCTGCCTTCCATGGCCGAACTAATTGATTTAGGGTAAAAATAAGATATCTACTCCTTTAGAACAATTTAAGAAGCCGTCTTCAACCATCGTGCACTGCTGGTCGCGCGCTCAATACTAAATACTATCCATATGATCTTGATGGTTGGCAATCTACACCGTGCCTTTCTCTAAGAATTTCCTATCACGCATAAACACATCGTGGAATTTACTCACAGTACTACTATTTCCGAGCCGATACCTACTCAGCGATCTTGGAGATTATTTAAATAGTCGACACCTGCAGTTCCTCTGGTGTTGTTGTTTCGTCATTTACCAATTTACAATTAGGTGTGCAACAAGCTCGTTTGCCCCTCTCTTCGATAAAACAAAATGTTTCTTTATAATTATTTTACAACTAGCTGTACCCGCAGCGTAGCTCGCGTATACAGGTTTTACATAAAGAATTTGTCGTTTAGGTAAGAGAATATTAAACGATTTATTTCATTACTGTATCAATAAGTGGTAACTAAATAAATCATTATCATCAAAGTTCTAAGTCGTTTATGATAGAGCTTCTGTGTAAACGACGTTAGAAGTAGGCTTAGCCGGGGTGTACACAAAAAGGTTACGGGGGCTACTAACGCGGGAAAAAGCAACATAGAGTTGGCCATGTGCAAAACAGTCAGTACTGAGGTACACTCCTACAACGCGTAAAGTTTGACCTTGCGCTTTATTTACGGTCATCGCATAACACACGCTCACTATAACTGGGTACTGAACGCGCTTAAAACTGAAAGGAAAGTTACTTCTTAATAGAGGGTTTTTGGGCAGTGCTGCCAGATAAAAAAAAAACTCATTCAGCTCTAGGACAACACAAAAAGCGCTAGATATCATGAAAACAGCGCTTTAAAAAAGTCCTAGATTTCGCGCTAAATTAACCACAAACAAATTTGTGTTTTTTTATATAATCATAATAAAGAAAACAACATTAAGTTTTTTTTCTGGCAATATTTTTTTGATGTATCAATACTTCGCAGGACATCGACTTATAATTATGGCAATTGCTGTCAACAGTAGTTAGTACTGTACGAACAATAAAAATGTCATTAATTGTTTTAAAGTGCAATGTATTTCGCAACTTAGTTTCAGATGTCAGCATCTGATTGCGGTTGCTACACAGTTTCTTTGTGTTATAACTTCTAAGTAACTTTTAACTTAGCTGTGCTCTAAGCAACTGACTGAAACTGAATAAAGCAAAATAAATGCGTTGCCAAAACCATGAACGAAAACTTTAATAAAGGGGATTTCCCCGCCGGACCGGATAGTCGTCGGTAAAAAAATCAAGTTGATCATCCTAAAGGGGAAGCCAGGAGATCCATAGCACAGGGTATCCTAGTTTGGACTCGTCTCCCATGCTCTTTATTTGTGGAAAAAAATATGTTTGAAAAAGATAAACTGCAATGTACTATTTGTGGGAAAAAATAACAAAGGTCATTATTATTATTATCGGTAATGTGGACTAACAGTGCTGCTATAAAAGAGTTAATAACCCGCTAGTCGCTAAAATATTGAAATGTGTGCTAAATACACCAAAAAGCGCTGGATTAAGCTAGGTGCTAAAATTTCGAAATGCGCGCTATACATTCCAAAAAAGCGCTAAATCTAGTTCCCAAAGCGCTAAAATGGCAGTACTGATTTTGCGTATATTATAAATACAATATCACGACATTTCGTTGCAAAATTTTATTTTTGGTCGGGTTCCGTTGCAAAGCTTCGATGGATACAAATTTCTTCAGTAAGTCTCAATACGATTCATCAGCGAAAAATCTCAACACAGCAATTCAGAAAAGTTTGTAATTTGTACAACTCCATCTATTACGTCCTTTGTGTGAGAAAACATCCTTTTTAAATCTCTTTTTGTGTTTTAAGTATAAATATATTAATTATTATGGAACGTTTTTTTTTACACACAAATCTTTTTATTACTATTTCTGAGATTTTATGGCGCCATTGAACAAATTCGAAGCAACATTTCAAAATAATAATCATTACTTTCGATAGAATTAACCAATTTTAATAAAACAAAGATTAAATGTAACTCGAAGATACGCTTTATGATTTTCTTAACGATTTCTTTGAAAATAAAAGATGTTTACTTTAGACGTGATGCGTTCATATAATAACAGACAAATAGACAAACAGACAATTCTAAAAATTATAAAATGTTCTTATTTAATTATTTTCAGTTCCCCATAATGATTTTAGCCACCAAAATATATATACAATGTACAGAAAGAGACACAACATGTTATCATCATTTTTATTATATGTATATATTTAAAGAGAGATGGCGCTGCTAACATCAATTCTAAAAATAAAAGAGATTAATTGACGCGATTGATACATTATATAAAACGCAAGAGAACTTATAAATCAGTGCCTGCACAGTAAGCAAAAAATAAAGTTTGACTCTCGCCAAAACCAACGCAATTGTTAATAGCTCTTTTAAAATTTGATTTACCACATAGAGTACTCGGCGGTAAAGAATAAATTGAGTTTGTCAACACGCAGTAGGGCAGCGAGTAATATAATAAAGATTAGCAGTAAATATGAAAACTCATCTATAGGAAAAAACCACATTGCAATTGCATTACATTTTCACTACACCACCATCTATCGAAGAAATGGGTTAACTATTGTGCTTCAGATTTAGTTAATAAATTTTTGCATAATATATTTAATACGTTCTTTAATACTTTTGTTTACTGCGTTTTAGATATACGTAATTATATCATTATTTTACATAATTTAACTATGATTTATGATATGATATTAGTTTAAAATGCACTTGATGACTCAAACAAAGCCACCGTTGAGCAAATTCGTACCTATACTTCCCTACCCATACTTCAGAATATTTATCATAACTTTTGATGGAATGAACTGATTTTAATGAAATAAAGACTAAATGTAACCCGAAGATACACTTTATAATTTCCTTAACAATTCTTATGATATAAATTAGTACTTTATACGTGATACGTTAACAAACAAACAGACAGACAGACAGACAGACAGAAAATTCTAAAAATGGTAGAAATGTATTTAATTACTTATTTTTAGTACCCCTCAATCACTTTTATTACAAAAATATAAAATGTACAGACATCTGCTATTTACAGTTTTATTATATGTATAGATTAAATCCTATTCTACAAAAACGAAACCGCCATCATAAGATAAGTCCACGATAATGTTTATATTATAGTTTCTAGATCTAGTGTTTGGACAAATTAATTTTTAACTAACTTCAAAAAGGAGGAGGTACTCAATTAGACTGTATGTTTTTTATGTGTATTACCTCATAAATTTTTTCTATGTGAACCGATTTTGATGATTCTTTTTTTTATTTGACCGCTGATGCTTTCTTTTTTAATTAGAACAAAGTCTGACCAGTAGTTTTTGAGTTATCCTTAATAATTTTTATTGAAGTCGGTTGTAGAAATTTTTTAATTTTATCAATTGTTTTTATAAAGTAAGAATAACGAGTACCAAAACACAGTCCACCTGATTGTAAATGGATGCATTGGCCCATAGACATCTCCATCTATACTCCATTAGAATCAAAATGCAGATGCGTTGTCAATTGTCATTCCCGGGGACTAAGATTTAATGCCTCTTTTTCAGTAAAAGGGGTCTCCGCTTCTGTACACTCACCGCACGAAACATAGCAATATTCATCTTTTATCTTGGTATTCTTTGAAAACATGTTCCTATCCCAGTCGAGATGAGCCATTCGGTGCAGCATGGATCTACCTCGTATTTATATTTAACACCGTTGTTCGTTCCTTTACGAGTTGAATCTTCAAAATCAGTTGTGTTTTTTATTATTATTTAATTTACTTGAAAGGTTCTTCATAAGAGTAAACTGTTATAGCCTTTTTTTAAGTCAAATCTTCTCCCATTTTTGAGAGATCATGGAGCAATTATACCGCCGCGCTGCTCCAGAACGTGTTGGCCAACTGCACGTTTGCAATTTGTTTTATTCTTGAGAATTATAGCTTTTCCTCAGACATGCACATAAATTGTAAATAATTTTCTGCTCACCAGATGTCGCTAGTTGACACTGAGGTATAGTTTCTTGTTACACAAAAATATTTAATTGCGAAATTAGTTTTTAATAAAAGTTTATCAGCTTCAAAAGTATTATATTAATACACAAAACATGCCTCAGTAGTTTGCTCTATAATTTCTTGCACATTTTTAACTTTTTTTTAATTTTTCTACTTTGATGAATATCTGTGGTTTGGTTTATTTATTTTTAATACTATTAATGTAAAATATAGCTAATACCACAGAAAGAAACATTAGCATTTACATTTTTCCCACAAATTAACTTCCCCGCTATGAAATCTGTCAAATATTATACCTCACTTTTAGGTGGCGCCGCCCTGGTGGCAGAAAAAGTCATTGAAATCGAACTTGATTTGAACATTTTATTAAAGTTATACATACTATTATTCGAATCGATTGGGTACCATGATCATTACTGCCTCTGAAAACTGCTGAACATAGGCCTCCCTCATTGATTGCCTCTTATATGTTTGGCACAGATGCTACGCTTGGCAGGTGGGTTGGCAATCACAATTTTTTTTAATTGTTGTTAGGAAGACGCTCCTGCCCATATCCGAATTAGTTTCCCTCTGGTGCTTCCTCCAATAACGAGTCGATATGAGGTAGCGGATATTCTTACACCGCCACTACGATGCTCTTTTATAACATAGGTTTTTTTTTATAACATAGGGGGTAGGATATGAGCACACAGTCCACCTAATGGTAAGTGGTTGCTGTGACCCATAGACATAGTAAAAAGTTTCTCCGGTTCTCACCATACGAAACACAGCAGTTTAACACTGCTGCTATTTTACGCTGATATTCTGTGAGAGCGTGGTCCTTCCCCGGTGGAGTCGATCCATCCGTGCTGCAACTATACTACTAATATAGCTGCAACATGGCTCTACCAAGTATTGTACTAATATAGCTGCAGCATGGCTCTACCATGTGCTGTACTTTCAATTTTAATTATTTTTCCTTTTTATTTTATATTTCTTTTCCGACATTCTAGATATATTTTCGTGAGCCCATACAAAGACAAAGCCGGCAGACGCGTTGTCATATATAGACCAGGTAAATTAACATAATAAAGCTAATTTAAAAATGTTGTAAGATTAAATTTAAGTAAAATTTACATAATATTACAAAATAAAATTTCTCCTAAATAAATTTTAGGTCCCAACTAACAAATATTAATTAAAAATATAACAACAGCAATAATATGAGCATAAACATGAAAAAAAGAAAAGAATTCCTTACCAGGAAGCTAATTGAACCCATTTGCATTCAATGGGACTTCTGTAGATGTGTTATTATTATAATTTTTAATGTGGTATGATGTCAGTACTTGACGACAATCTCACCTGTTGATAAGTGGTAATTTAATGTAGCAGAAGATAAAAGCTCTGACTTAGATCTTCAATACCTGTACACATTCTTTTTTCTTTCTATAAAGTATAAGTTTGACAAGTGAGCCCACAGTCCACCTGGTGGTTATTTTTTTCTTTACTGTAAACATAATTGCAGGAATGAACAAACATGTTATTTCTTTCCAAACAAATTAAATCGAACCAAGACCAAAATAATTAAGACAAAAAAATATATAATGCTATTTCTCAGGAGTATTTGATCCCTACAAATTCACGAATCAAGACATGTGTCGTGTTATGGCGATTTGTTACGAAACGTTGATGGAGGACGAAGAGTCCCAGGTTCGAGGGCTTGTGCACTTCGCCGATGGCGGCGGTGTCGGCTTCCCACACCTCACGCTATTCACGCCGAAGGAGGCTGTCAGGATCGTCAAAAACGGTGAAGTAAGTTTCTTTCATGTTTTTATAATGTTTATTTAATACTAGCGACTTACCCTGGGTGAGATCTATTAATGTGACGTCATTTAGATTTTTTAACCATTAAATTTAGCAATTTTTCTATTTCACAAAAAATCTCCAGAATTATTCAATGAAAAAATCGAACAAAATATATCTACAATCACTCCAGCCATTGCTCTCTATCTGTTCGTGAACTTTCATCACAATCTGGTAAGCCATTCCGAAGATTAGCGTAGACAGACTGAAAAATCGACAAGAAACCGTGCAGACCTTTTTTTTTCAATGTATATCTTTATATATAAAAATTACGTGTCACGTTGTTTGTCCGCGATGAACTCCTAAATTACTGAACTGATTTTATGAAATTTTGCACACTGTGTGCAGTTTAGTCCAACTCGAGAGATATCATAGTTTTTATCGCGATAAGTGACCTCAATATTTTTTTTTTTGCGAATTTAAGGATTTTTTAATAGGACAAAGGGTCGTCGTTATGGGCGGAACAACGTTTGCCTGGCCAACTAGTCTATACAAATAAATAAAATTGAAGTGTCTGTTTGTAATGTCAAAATAACAGCTTTTTACTAAATGCATATGAAAGTATACACAGTACTTACAACAAAAACACATTTTTTTTAATTTTTGTATGTCTGTCTGTCTTTCCGTCTGTCTGTCTGTATGTTTGTTTCGGCTAATCTCCGAAACGGCTGAACCGATTTTAACGGGACTTTCACTGGTAGATAGCTAATATTATAAGGAGTAACTTAGGTTACTTATATTTTAGAAAAGGATTTAGGATTCCGCGCAAAAAAAAAATTAAAACCAAATTATACGCGGGCGAAGTCGCGGGGTATAAGCTGTACCCCGCGACTTCGCCCGCGTGTAATTTGGTATACAATAAAAATAGGTTGTATAAGCTACTTATTTACAGAAACTTATTTAAGAAACAGCTTGGAAGCAACCGCCTCTGCTGGCTTTCTATACCCACCAGACCGATACACAGCAGTGCACGCATTGCTGCTTGGCGGCAGAAATAAGGAGCAGAGTCCAATTTGAAGTGCTGCCACTATTCATATTACAAACATTGCGAACATTTGCTCCAACATGTACAAATCCACTTCGTACCAGTGACCTCAATTACACATTTTTGTCCGTTTGAGTTACTAATAAATATGAAGCATAGTTTTACATGATAAAATTTGGCGAGTATCGTAAAAAAGTAAAGCGTGAAATACATTTACCTACTCTACTTCTCCTTCTCCCATCGAACACCAGACACTCGAAGGATCACCATTCCGTTATCGACGACTTACCGTCGTATACGTTATCGACATTTGACGCATTGGCATTACAAAAGAAATTTTAATTTCTTACGTCGAAGAGAATTTCATTTCAAACTATATTTGTTTCGCCGTTCGTAATACGTACAATAAATGACAATCACAATGTTGTCTTCAAGGTCAGAGTGTTTGAGAGGTTGAGGATTTTTTCAAGCTCAACAAGTGATAAATGTTAAATGATAGAAAGGAAAGGGCTATCATTTTCAGCTATACCAGATAGTAAAGTTGGAAGAAGTAGTAAGGGTAAGAAGGTAAATTATCAGCTATAGGTACCTTCACTTATCATCTAAATGGCCGGGTTTCTAGCTGGACTGTTCTTACCAGGACAGATTTATTTTGCGAACTAGTAGTAAAAGCATAAATGACTTACAATCAGTATTCTTGTATTGTGGTATTTTATTCTACTATTCCTCATGAGTACTATCCATCAATGAGTACGACTACGAGCTAGAACTCTGTGGTGGATTCTGATGATGAAACAATATACAAATTTTATTTACAGCGCACAATTCCACTGAGGCACAAGGAGATCTATGGCGTCAACGTTCACCCCACCATTAAGTTTGCGCTGGACTTCGGTATGGCGCTCATCTCGGAAAAGATCAGGAAACGAGTGAGACTGTACACAGCAGTTGAAGAGATAGAGCTGGACAAGAGTTTGCTGCCGCAAGAGTACGGAGGAACCATGCCAATGAAAGAAATGATTGGTGGGTTTATGGGAACAGTTCTTTATAGTTTTTGTTTGTCCGTCGAGTTACGGTTACGTCATAAAATGTTTAAAAGGTAACATGATAAGCCCGTCCGCAGCTGTAAATGGGCCATTCTTTCTCATCTCAAGCAAGAGTGCTTTGTAAGCGGTTTTCTATCATTGCATCACATGTGGGAGACCTTTTACGTCGCAGACACCCGTAATCATCATCTTCTAATTAATAAAAAACGCCTCGTAGCCTATATATAATTTTAATGACTCCCTTAGCTATTAAACCAAAATAAGGTGCAGTGGTAAACCAGGCTTCTTTGATTTGATTCAGAAGGATTTCTGTATCTCTATTGAGACTGCTACGTCTCCGGCGCTGCGGGAAGAGCAGCCTCTACGCCTTTGCGTAACAAATCGCAGGCATCGTTCCTCGCCTTCGCAGCAGAAAGGAGCCTTACCACCAGGAAATTACTGTAGCAAAAAGGACCACCGAGAACTTATTAACCATTAAGGTTAATAAGTTCTCGGTGGCCTGGCTGCTATTAGAACCTTACTGCACCCACTTACTGCCTTTGTCAGTATTCTTAAAATAATACGTAGAGACACGTTGCAGCTATATTAGGATTATGGCGCGAATAGGTCGGCTGGGAAGGGGAAGAACCACGATCTCACAGAATACCAGCATGATATAGCGACTTAATGCTGCTGTGTTTTGTATAATGAGAAGAACTGGAGACCTGTTTTACTTTAAACGACGTATTCCATCTTAGCCTTCAGGTGTAACCGAGTGCTCGTTTGTTATCCTTATTCAATATAAATAAGACAGCGCGACTTACCATCTTGGGCTTCATCACCACTATCACACCAGATAACATTGTTAATGTTATCTACCCACTATAGGATTTTCACTCATCTTTGAGGCAGTTTACATACATAAATAGCATAGGGACACACATGTAGACCCGGAACAATTACTTGTAGGTCATATAAATACTTGTTCCGGTGCAGGATTAGAAACTGCGGCCGTCAACGCTGCAACTTAAGGCTAAACCACGGCGTCACGGCGCCGTCGAGATTGTAGCGAGGCAGCATATGTTAAGTAAAAAAATCGACAATTCACAAATCTACCGCTGTACATAGGTCTTACTCAACGACTGATACAAAGCATGCATCATCAAGTGGCTATTTCAACTTCGGTGGCCGTTGTACAATACATATACAGTTGTCTTATATAAATAAATAAAACATTTTTTAATATAATTTACAGAATTATGGAAGAAGGAACTCGCAAGCAAACGCGACATTCTGTTATTGAACGACAAAATGGCGGTGCGCCTGGAAATGTACAGCGAAGCGGCGAGGGAAGGTGCGGTGTCAGCACTAAGAGCGGGAAACAACAGCTGTTCGGGAGCGGACACAGTTGGCGACGCCATGCGGGGGCTCACTGGCAACTTCAGAAAACTCGAAGTAGATTAATATTGAAATTAGACTGATTTTGTTAGTAAATTACTTTTAGGGTGCGTTTCATTCAGTGATTGATTGTTTTCAATTTCCTGCGTTTTATTAGTTATTTAATGGGTCACATTTAAGGTCACTTTTAGAGCTGTGCATAGTTCCAATCTAACTTAAAATATCAATTGGGACCACAAATATGTAAATCTAAGATATTCCTCGAAAAGTCTGAAGTAATTTATAATACAATTTCGAATCTATTCGTCTATGATTATATGTTAACTCATATACATATATATTTTCAATTACCTATGATATGCCTATTCAATTGCTTGTCTTTGAATAAATCAATAGTAAAGTTCAATACAGACACCATTATATAGATCAAAAGTTTCTCACTCTAATACGTAAAAAAATATTACCAACAAAATAAAAACCAGCAGACAACAGGTTCCTTACCTCAGAAAAATATCACTAATATAATAATAAAATATTAAATTAAAAACCTAAAGGTTGGCAAGCCTGTATTGTATTCCTATAGATATATAAACTTACTATAATTGAAAAAAAAATAAGCTTACATACGTCCCACAGATAGGTAGTGGCCTCCTCTTATTTCTGACATAGTTTTGAAGGAGGGATTGCATTTCAGTACGTTAGTTTGAAAAAGACTAGAAATAATGAAATGTTGAATGGTTTCATAAATACTTGAATGGTGTTTCTGTGTATTTTAATTATTATTATTGATATTTGCAGTGAAAATTCAACGCACGATGTAACGTTCCAGTATATATCTACAGTATTGTTAATATGTTAAATAGTAAACTAGTGATAAAACTCTTGACATAAATAGGTAATTTCTTAATAATAAAGTGTATTAGTATTACAAGGCTGACGATCAATCTTATATATAAATAAAAATAAATAAATAAAAGAATGCGTGTACTTTCATTTTATTTATTAGAAACTCATGAGCTACCTAACCGGTAGAAATACACAAACATCAGATTCGACTCGGCGCTTAGGAAACAAATCTTTCCATACAAAATGCTTTATTCTTTATAATTACAGAATATACTTCGATTATATTTTATCTTACAAATTCAAATTGTCATGGTGGACAATCCGTTAATGATTATTAGGGTTTTAGCACACGCAAACTATAATAAACATTTTAATGAAATGTGTTACAAAGCTGCTACCTTTCTCAAAACAAGTATTTAATAGAAGGCAAACATTATTGTATTAACACCTTTGTGTAACATACGGGCACACAGTTCACCTGATGGTACTGGATGCTGTTGCCCATAGACACCTACATCTATCCTCGATTGAGAACGAAAAGACAGATGCGTTGTCACCTATGAGGACTAAAATGGACTACCATACAAAACGCAGCAACGGCTACTTTGTGCTGATATTCTTTGCGAGATGATACTTCCCTGCTTGAGCCGACCTATTTTGCAGCATAATAACTGCAGTATGACTCTATCACATAATTAAATAAGAGTTTAGAGCTATCGGAGTTTTGCAAAAAATGAAAATGCCTCCACAAACAAATTTGAAAAAAGACAAGCTTGTTTACAATAAGTAAACAAGAAGTCGAAGTAGAATGCTCAAACGCAAAAACCCTAATAATTTACAAATCTCACACGAAATAATATCTCCGAAGGTAGCTTTTATGCGAGAGTAACTTTCGTTTCTCACTAAACTACTCATAACTCTCTTAACAAGTGAATATGCGTAAGTCTTAGCAAATTATCAACGTGGGCACGAAGCTGACCATGTGCTAACGACTATAAAACAAATCGCAAAGTTAAATTAGCTCTTTCATGTAATTATTTCACACATTTTTATGTATAGATGAAAATGTGTACACTTAATCGTAGTCACGTTTTTAATGTGGATACATTTCAGAATAAAAAGAATAGCACTGCAGAAAAAGAATAGACACTAGGTGAGCTAAATCATCTCTTAAAGTACAATTTCTTAAACATTTTTTGAAGTACAATTTCTTAAAAATTTCTGCATACCTTACGGCGGCATATTAACCGATTTAAAGTTTTATCTCGTAAATAAACAATGACAACAGGCATAAATTATTACAACATATTTCATTAAATGCATGGTTAAGATAAGACTACAAAACATACAAAAATACTAAGTGTTTTTAAGGTTCTGTTGTATGGGTTAATAATATGTAATAAGCATGACTATACAAACGCCATCGCGTTACGCTTAAGGCAGATTTACATTGGGTTAATGAGTGACGCCAGTGACTGACTAAGATCTTGAATTTGCGTCGTTTATATTGAAACCGCTATCGAAGGGAGTTTACTGTAGCATAAGTATAAGTAATTCACTGGAAGCTACTAGTGTTTAGGGAATCAAACAATAATGCAACGTTTAGATACTCGCCGAGTACAAACGAGTAGGCACGAGCACGCGTATGTAAACGTCTTGTTCGGGTGTTCCCCTACTCGGCCCGAATATTCGTGTGTTCTCTACTCAATGTCGGTTTTTTGGCACGAGTAAAAGGACTGCTCGTGTGTATTCGTATCGCTGTTTACATACTCGTCATTATTCGCTTTAGAGCCGTGAACTTTTAAACTTTATTTTTCTTATAAGACAAATTAAAAATTTTAATAATAACCTACTGTGATGGATTGCTGTAACGATTCCACCATTTTATAGAACTTTATCAACTTTATAATAAATATTTCATCATTATCATTACATCCCTTCACAAGTCCACTGCTGAAGATAGGCCTGCTCCAAGGAATGCCACAAAGCACGGTCCTGAGCCACCTGCATCCATTGACTTCCTGTATGTGTTACAAGGTCCAAATAAATATTTGTGAGTCTATAAATATCAAGTAGACGAAGTCATGGCAACGAGACGCACGTCATTCATGTTTAAAAGATCTACGTTGAATGAATATAGACGAATATGTAAACGTGTCGCACTCGTATATTTGATACTGGCGTATGTTGATTGTTCTTATGAAAAATTCTTCAGAATGTCTATATATTTTAATCTTTTAAAGTAAACTTACAGCCTATGTCAGTCCCACAGCTGAGCGTAGGCCTCCTCACACTTCTGAGAGGATTTTCGTAAAGCCTGCGGACACTTACGCGGACTGCCCTAAAATCCTCTTAGAAGTCTTTTAAATTGAATCACTTAAATAATAATAATAATGTCCTCCAGACCGAATTTCGGTCACAGTGGCCAGTCTCAACCTCAACTAACCTTCGGCGCTGGACAGGATTATAATGCCCAAGTGTATGCGCAAGCGCAGGTGCACTATTTATTTCCTTATTCTCATAGTCCGATGGGACGGTAATTCCGACCGGAAAGAGATAAGGCGCATTATATGCTTTCCGAGGCACGGGGATGAGACACCATCAACTACCTGACTCCAGGCAGCTACTGAGTATTTCTTGATGGAAAAACTCAATAATTGATTTTTTGGTCCGATCCGGGAATCGAACGCGGGACCTCATGATCAGCAGTCTTACTACTACAACCACTAGACCAACAAGGCAGTCTTAAATAAGAGGGACATGAATAACCATTTTAAATATGTTTGTCTGTCTGTTTGTCGGGCCTAAACTTCGGAATGGCTAAACCTTCTTAAACTATTCAAACTTCTCGAACACATATAGAGCAATGCCAGGAGTGATCTAGGCCATATTAAATAAAAAAAAATGGTAAAAAAAGAACGAAAAATTGATAAAACGAATGATGACATTTGATTTAATTAAACCATAATAAAGCCACATTTATAGATCCTACCCGTGGGTTGCTAGTATTGAATAGATAAATAAAAGGCAACATGAAAAAAATAATATTCTAAAATGTGAATGTAATAACTGAAAGTAAAAATAAAAAAAAACATGATCTTCAAACGGCTGAACAGATTTTCTTGAAACTCAACTCACTCTCGATCAAAAGACACCTAGTAATCAAAAAAAAAACTAAATCAAAATCGGTTCATCCACTTGGGCGCTACCATGTCAGACAGACAGACAGACACACAGATACATACGTTAAATATATAACAACCCTCTGTTTTCGTCTGGGGTTAATAAATGCGAATATAGACATAGAATTGATATTTGTTAAATAATTTTTTGAAAGAGACAGTGTTTGAAGACTTGTATAAAATAGAGTCACCTAAATTTAGATAATGAAATTAACGAATAATTTCAAGAAGTGACCAAAAGGAAAATATGTTGAAGCTTCATAATACCGAAATACAAGCATGTTGTAGTACATATACTTTAGTGAATCGTTGTCGTTATCACATCAAAATGTTTTTGTTCTCCAAATTCTCCATCCTTTTGAGATATTCATACAAAATATTGGAAATCAATTGAAATTACTGTTTTAAATGATAGTTACTATTTTAATAAGGGCCGATTTTTCATCGTCAGATAAAAAGTTATCCATCAAATAAATTATAACATGATTGAATATAAATTAATTTTTAAATTATTTTATGATTATTAACTGTATTTTCCAATTTCTTTATTCTGTATTTTATCATAACAATAACGACTGAAAATCGGCCCTAAATGGAATGTATAAATTTATCGAAATAACCAGTTTATATTGCGTTGTCAGTATACTTAAATAAGGTTTGTTGCTAATTTTGCTTACAGTTAGGTTTAATTTCCTTTGTATTAGTATTCTGGAAGAGTGTTTTTCAATAGCAACAGTATGAATCTAAATAATATATAATTTTAACTATTAATATAAATATATTTAATTTAACGTCTACTAGCTTAACTTAAATCTGTGAACATTACAACGGTAATTGCATATAGTCAGTTCGGCGAGAGTTGGTAAAAAAGCAGGACTCCTAAACTTTTTAATCTTATTCTTACGCTCACCAGATGTCGCTAGTTACGCATCGTCATGATTACAGTTTCAGCACCATTGTAAAGTTGCGTTTAAATAATAGTTTTTCGGTTTCTAATGTACGTATACACAAAACAGTGCCCAGGGCCGCATTCTTTGA